AAAGATGATGGATGGATGGATGGATGGATGGATGGATGGATGGATGGATGGATGGATGGATGGATGGATGGATGGATGGATGGATGGATGGATGGGTTATATTAAGAGCAAAAATTGAACAAGAGGAATGTTGTTAATAGGGTGTTTATTGGCATGGGCCTGGTAGACACCCTCATAAAAAAGCCAATATAAAGCATAGATTTTAAATGTATGCTGTATTAAAATATCACACTCACATTGAGGGTTTGCTGTAAAACCTGTTTTCATCAGAAAACTCAATCAAGAGACATTTTCAAAAGAGTCAGAGTTCAAACCAAGTGGGAACTATCAGCAGCTCTCCAACAAAGTCCAACTGTGCAAAAAGCTGCACTCACTCAAATAGCCGGCTCCTTAACCAAGTCAATTCTGATTATTTTGGCAATAGCCCAATCTTTCTCCTCCACTGGCTCCACAGTGAAGGGGAGGAAAATGGTGTGGGTGCACCAGCTATCACTCTGTCTCTGTTGGCCAAACATGCAGTTATGTTGATGGACAGTAAATGTTGTYAACGTATTCTACACTGTTCACTGAAAAACATGATCTCATCCAACTATAATCTGATGAAAAAAATGTCTGAATGTGTTATGACAACTTTCTTTTGACTGCGTTTTTTTCTTTTCATGTCACTTTATATTCCCAAAAATTCATATTTTGATTGTAATTTTTTTGTTTCAATTGTGCACCGTTTAGCTCCCTATTATCAGTCTGAACAGGGCATGCTGTTCCACTCACGTAAAATGTAATAAATTAAAGCACCGAGGCTCCATCAGGCTGCAGCCGTGAGTGAGTGTGAGTGACAGCTGAGTACTGTGGACATGTTTAACCCCCCCAGGGTTCATGCAGACCCTCTCTCAATTCAAGATGGAAACTGCTAAATAATGAACCTGAAGGTCGAGAACAGATGTACACAAACCTAGTCATGGACATTACATTTGTCTTTAATATGCAGACAGTGTTTCCCTGTGGTTTATTGCTTTAATTTAAAAGAACTTTTAAATGATTAACAGATTTTAATTGGATTTGATAACTGCTTTTTTCATAGTAGAAATAATAAATGACAGGCAACAAATTTTCTTTTTTTATTAAGTCAATGCACATTTCATTCTCATTAAAATTCAGTAATACCTTCTAGGAATGCCTATCTTCTCCCCCTCCTTTCTCCAGGCTTGCCCTCTGCAAAGAGGGAAGCTGAGATGGAGGGGTGGTGGTGGTGGTGGTGGGGGGGTCTCATTCAGCTACATGAGTCATCCTGCTGTATCATTCACTATGTTTGTAACACCCACACAAGACCGCGCAGCACTGAGTACACACGCTCACAAAGCCTCTCTCTGCACTGCTGTGCACCTGTGACGTTTATAATCACACCTTATTGAATCCTCCACCACGAATCGAGCCGCATGCYACGCMCAAAACACATTCTGCCCCACTAAGTTTACTTMTGTGTAAACTTCAGCATCCAAAATGTAAATCTGTATGAATTTYGCTGCGCACACATGCTCTCTGCTGTGTTGATTTTAAAAGAGAAATCTCATTGGGTAACTGAGCCCAGATGAAATAATTAAGCCTAAGTGAAAATGTAAATGGGAAATCCTCTTGCGAAATCCTTGTCATGCATTGTGCATGTGTAAGAAACATGTGTGCAAGGAAAAAAGAAAAGAAAAGAAAGAAAAATGAGCTGCTTTTTCAGCCTCCTCCTTTTGCTTGCTTACATGTGCAGAGACATAATGCAGCAACACTGAGTGAATGGGTGGGGGTGGGGGGGGGGCACTAACGTAAATGGCATTGTGTTGTGATACCAAAAAGAGGACCCACACCTCTCTTGTCTTAGAAAAACTGACAGCTGGTAGCTTTTTATGTCCCTTCAAGACATGAGATTTCAGACAAGAAAACAAAAAAACTGTTTGAATATTAAAGAAACGCAGGTTGCCCGCCACTTTTCAAGACCGTGACAAGACAGTGAGCAGGTGCTGTGGATGACTTTTAGCTGCAACAAACTTAGCTCAGTATCTGGACAGACTGAGTTCCATGCATTTTTCTCTTGGCTAAGGTCCATTGCATGTGGTGGTCATCTCCAAAAGTTAATCAGTTGTAGAGCCACACTTATTGTCTGAAAGTGTCATAAAATATCTCCAGGGGTTTATGAGCTATTTTGTTAACAGACAGACAAACTGAAACCAGCATTTAATYCTGAAGTTTAAGTAAAGATATTGCACAAWGTGTAGTGCTCAGAYCACCTGTTAGCTAWAARGCTCAGCCACTGTCTCACCGAATTTTAAGTCAATATCTGTAAAMTTAGCTGAGTTATAGCAGTTTTTATGTTTCCTATAATCYATTGGCTGTGGCAGCCATCTTTAATTGAACTGGCTCCAAAACCGARTSAYTTGTAGACATACATCTAATTATTGTTTTCTCAAASTTTCATTAAAACATCTTRATTGGTTCAGGAGATATTTTGCTAACAGACTGACACAGTTGATTGCAACAGTTGATGGCAAATTTTTAAAAGCAGATCTTGCAGGATCAGTAAGTACTTAGAGTATGCGACGGGAATGACTCTCAGCTACTACCATGTGAAATTTTAATTCAATAGCTGTAAAATTGGTTGACATGTAGCTAGTTTTATGTTTCCTAAGGTTAATTATTTATGGCAGCCACATCAAAAGGGGGTTGACTCCAAAAGACAAATATAGATGTACATCTTATGARTACTTTCTTGGCTCACTAGCTCATGAGATATTTTGCTAACAACACTGACAAACCCACATTCAGATAGGCAATGCACGTAAAAAGACAAATATTTCTTTTGACGAATTTAGTTATTTTTAACCTCAAATTTTTATTTTATTTTTTCATTCTTTTATTTATTTTGGTCCTTTTCACCAACTTTTGCTGTGATTTTTTAGCCCAGCATTTTTCTTTCACCTTATTAATCTGTCATTTCTGGCTCCGTTCCCCTCCCTCTTCCACTGTAATGATCTCACATCTGACACAGCAGAGAGAGGAAAATAATGGATATATTTGTTTGCTGAGACGTGGCCGCTCTGAGAGCTCGTTAAACACCAGATAAGAGGTACTCCACGCCGCGAGACCCGGCAGCGGCGCCGGCGAGATAAATCCGCTTGATAAATACACGTAATCATTTCACCTTGTCTCCTCTCCTCCTGCCAGGAATCAGACGGGGAGACGCGGTACGACACGAGGTGAGCCCCGCTTCCACTTTTTACCTCCTCTCCTTCCAGGCGGCGACACCTCCCAGCATCCCTCTCCTCCCTCCCTGCATCCCCATCACTCCCATGACCCCTCCTCCTTCCACACATCCTCCTGCTCCATTCACTTCACATCTCCCTCTCTCAAATCCTCCCTCTCTCCACCTTACCATTCTGTCTCCAGTCAGAATTAGATGAGGCGTTTTTTTCTTTTTTATTTTCCTTCCTTCTTTTTTTATTCTTTTTCACCTAAATGCATGCTGCTCTGAAGGGGGATGCACAGGCACATGAATGTAGTGATATCTGCTGAAAATGAGGCGAAAAGCTCATAAACGGTAAGGCAAGAAGGCAAAAGAAAGTGCGTGTCTGGATTTTGCTATATGAGTGAGTGCAGTTGCCGTCTCACGTCTAATCATTGTTCTGTAACTGTTGTGCCTTTGCTGTCCATGTGTTGCATATTGTCACAGAGTGCTTTGACGAAAAGAGGTCGGGCAGCCTGCTGAGCAGCAGCACAGTGTGACTGAAAGGAGCATGTTGGAGTAAATTAAAGCTTAACTCACTGCAGCAAGGAAAAAAAACAGAAGAAGTGAGGCTGCTCTGAACAATTAGCTTCATTTCAAGTATTTATTCATTTATTTACTTTTTCTCACARGGATCAACTGTTGTGTGGATTTTATCGGTGTGAGAATAACGAGGTGCCAAATGCATTTGTAGCCCTCAATTAACTCTCATTTTCATGGGGAAAGAGGATACCACAGAGAGGCAATTATGGCTCAACAAGCATATCATGAAAAGGAGGAAGGGGGAAAATAAGGACGAAGAAGTTCTCATTAAAGCAAACTCCTCACCTTGTATAGATTACAGGAGGCGAAGACAGAGCAGCTGAGGAGAATTTATAATTAGGTGTTTTAGTCGAATCAGAAGATGGTCCCGGAGCATTTCTACACAACCCTTTAAGAGGCTTCATAATCTGCATGTCAGCATAATATCATCTAGAGGTTAATTACTTTCAACTTTATATCCTCCAGTCAGTCAGAAAAACCTGTTTGGGGGGGAATGATTCCCTGCTTTGCGTTAAATAGGTGAAACAATCTTGATCAGGGGAAAACCGAGCTGCAAACTTTGAGTCTTAAAAGTGAAGTTTTAAACTTCTTGCTTTGAAGAAAAAAGTAAGCATTATGCACTAATCTTTTAGGCACTTTAAGTCATCTTGGCTCATAAATAATGCAGCTTTAGTTAAAAAATATGGGATGCAAATTGAAGTTTATTTATAGTCCACTAAGTACAAAAACACACCTTTTACTTTCCATTTGTACATCCTTTTGTTCAAAATGACATATTTGAAGTGAATATTTTTATTGCCCAGAAATGTAAGGCAAAAGAGGACAAGGTTTTTGCTATTTTGGGTGCTCTGTGTGTGTGTCTGTTAGCAAAATATCTCYTGAACCAKTGGATATATTTGAAWGAATCTTGCAGAATAWATTTCTTAGGTGAACAWCTACWAGTGTTTAAATTTTGGAGTCAATCCAACAAAAGATGGTTGCCACAATGACTCAACCTAAAAAACACAAAAAAGGCTATTTCAATCAATTTTGCGGTTATTTTTTTTAAATTAGGTGTGTTTGTGGTTGAGAGTGATTCACAACACATACTGTATCTATATATAACYTATTGTGAGAGAMSTTTGCTTACAAACTAGAGCATTYTRTGTTGGGGCTWACGTTGACTYTCTGTTAGCAAAATATATCATGAAACACTGAAAATATTTTAACAAAACTTTCAAAGTATCATCTCTGAAATCCCATCTATATTTGTTTAGATTTTGGAGTCATTCTAATACAAGATGGCCATCCCAGCTAATCAACATTAGCCAATACAAACAATGCTATAACTCAATCCAATGTACAGACATTGAGCTAAAATTTGGTATGGTAGTTGCTGAGAGTCATTCACAACACATAGTTTAAGCATAAAGTATTGAAATAATTTGTATCATCTCTTTTCTACCTATCTCTTTTTTWAACTTGACTGAAATGTGTACAATTTTGTCATTTCTCAAAATAGGTTMATCTTAGTGTGAAACTAAAGCAACTAAAGACTGCTAGGTCTTTACTTAAAAAAATGTTTTAGAGAAAAAAACTTACAGTATGACACCATGAGCTCACATTCTGCCAGCAGCACACCGTGCTGCTTTGTTTTCTAAAATTAATCTTTTCACACATAAGACAACTCATCAGAGAAGGCTTTTCTGCTCTTTTACAATTAATGTCAAACCCAACTACTGTATGACCGTGACATGACAGAATGAGCACATTATCCAACTCCAACCCCACTTTCATGCGATTCACCACTTTTTAATTAAAGCAGATAATTGAAACTTTGTTGTAAGTTTAATATGTTCCATCCTGTACTAATTTTTCGCTTCAAAGCTCCACGTGCGGATCGCAGTGACAGCTGTTCCTCTTACTTTTGGATGCATTAATACATTTCTTATCGAGCGATTTGCAGGGCACGCTTACTTGTTACAGTCAGACTGAAGAAATGCTGACAGACCAGAATAAAATCATCGCTGTCAAAAATAAAATGAAAGGATGGAGTGGGGCACTTTGAAACACATGGCAAAGTTACAGCATTCATTTATATAGTTATTTTTATTTTTTCCAAAAATGCAACGAACATTTGTCATGTCTTAAAAATGAATCCAGGAGCAGTGGAAGCGTCTTTGTGTCACACCATGCATGGGGTGCTGTTTGTAAAGTTACACAGTCAAAAATTACCACCAATTCTTTTGTTTTATTTAGCCTTTTATAAGAAAAAAAGAACAGATTTATCTTTCCAAGTCAGTTTTTCACCATATGATTCATACATTTATAGATGTCAGTTTATAAACTAAATATTTAACTTACAAATTAAATATTTAGTTAACAAGCTAAATATTTAACTTGTGACTTAAATATTTAGTTTTGAGCTAAATATTTAGCTTGCAACTTAAATATTTAGCTAGCAACCTAAATATTTTAGTCACAAGTTAAATATTTAGCTTGTTAACTAAATATTTAATTTTTAAGTTAGATATTTAGTTTATAAACTATGACATTTATATATGTATGAATAATATGGTGAAAAACTGACTTTTAAAAATAAATCAGTTCTTTTTTTCTTATAAAAGGCTAAATAAAACAAAAATGTTGGTGGTAATTTTTGACTAACTTTACAAACGGCACCCCATAACCATGAGATAAAATTACAGTCACAGCAGCTGAGATTAGTTTGGAAACTTGATTTCCTTTCATTAGGTTTTTACAAATATTTCATCTCAACTCTGTCAGCTGCATCTTTGTAAAATTGTCAGCACCCTTAGAGATTCTACTGTCTTCTTCACTCAGACTTGGAGGAATATGCCTACAGAGGGGTTTTTTTTTATCATCTTTCACTAAGCTGAGCACGCATCCCCCCACCAAAAAAAAAAAGGCAGATGCTTTGTGAAGTCTCCCTTCAGGTTAGCCTGAAGCAGTTTACCACCTCCTTGCGCTCTTATTCTTCTGCCTAATTATTTCCCAGATTGTAGGAACGGGGATTTATGCAGACCCTGTTTGAAAAAAAGAGTGCAGCATCTTGAAAGTGTTTGTTAAAGGATCTGGCTTAGAGTTTGGAAATGTGTCCATTCTCTTCAATTTAAACCCCTCTGAATCACATGTCTATGTAAGTCTTAGGTTTCTTWTTTTATTCCCACTTCGCCACCCTCATTGCTCCCTGGACTATTGGTGATACGTCTGTCTGCCACTGGCACTTATCCAGGTGTGTCAAAGCCAGCTGGGCAGGGGCAGCTGAGCTACATAAGCCTCTGGGGGCTCGCACATACAGTGGACTGTAAATCTGGGCACTGCATGTCAGAAAGGATGGATGTGCTGTCACAGATGAACAAGACACTCCAGCATCTCTGAGGTTTTAACCTGAGATCACGATATCTGGTCAGACTGTGGAGCTCCAGCAAATTGTGTTTGTTGGAGTCGTTACTACATTAGCTAAAGCTGTCCTGATCTCTTCAGCTCAGCGGCTTGGCTTAAAAAGTACTCCTGTTTGGTTTTGTTGACACGTCTTCTGTTTGTGAAAAAAACAAATCCTGTTTCATCTTCCAAGAAGCGATCTTTCTAACCACACACTCAACGATCTGCACACACGTTGTACTCCTCAACAAATGCTTCACTACACACTGGTGGGCTGTATGTGCTGCCGTGTTTTCAGTCAACATCCATGTCACTCCAGCTCTCACTGGCCCATGTCGAGATAAACACAAAAAGATAAGATGGTGTAGAGGTTAGCCCTGTTGCCTCACAGTAAGAAGATTGACAATTTGAACCTATAGATTTGTTTGTCCTTGAGTTTCGCGTGTTCAGCAGTACAGAATGATTGAACATTCATGAGAAAGAGCCTCGGGAGTTTTGTAGAGAATAAAAATCTGCGTTTAAGGAAAGAATGTTGGATCAGGTGCTTTAAATGCTAGTTTGTGCCAAATGCGTAAGGAATACACCAACTGGATGCTGACAGATTTTGAAAAACGTGGCACTAAGTGGCATCTTGATGAAGTTGACTCCATAAGGTAATTAGCAGCAGACTTACATTTAATGATGATTGAGTTTGATTATATATATAT